GATAAGCTGGAAACCACTCCGCTTCGCGTCGTGGTTTCCTACGCGTATGTCGTGTTCTCCCAACCTGCCGCGTGTTTGCATCAGGCTATGTAAACACGGAAACCATTTTTCATTTCTTCAGTATTCATTATCTGCGCTCGACGGCGGTGAACGTGGCTTTGACTCTTTGTTCACTTAGCTAACGGTTTAAGGGGGCCTGTATTTTTGACACCCTTGCTTCCTGTTTCCTTTTCGATGTGTTCCACCTCTCCCATAGGATTGACCCTTTTGAGAATCTCGACAATGCTGCGCATATTGGCAACATTTTCTGCGGGAGTTGCACTTTCGATTGCAAGCAGGACACCCACCTTTGGTATCGTGTGTCCAACTTTTTTTACAGTTAAGACAATGAGCTGTCTTTGTCTGCTGTTTTTGACTTCTGAGGGAACACAGCATTGGCATTTCCAGGAGATCCTATGTCGGTCGCTTGCTGCTCTGAGACTTTTGATGCTCCTGCTCTGGCCAACGGGGCTTTAAGTGTCATGGTCGAATCTCTCTGTGGTTTTCAGCAAAGGCTTTGCGAAGTGCACCAATGAACTATTTGAGATTTAAGTGCTGCACTTGCTGAGAGCGGTCCTCTCGACTTCTCATTGGAAAAAGTTTTCTTTTATTTTTCGCCCATAAAAAGGGTTTAGGACACATGTTTCAAAAATAGTTTAGTTGTTCTTCAATTCTCTCTTTTTGCGTCGTTACAATCCAAAAATGATTTTTGGCCAGACCACCCTTGTGGACAGCAATCGAAATTAACAATTTCAAAGATTTTGATCAACGCGCAGTGACTGCAAAAATGAAGCTCACGAACTTCTATCTTGCTACAAGTTGCAAGATGTATTCAGTTAGGTCACAGACAACATACGGAAACTTCAGCTGAAATATTTTCCATACCAGCGTGATCAGAGGAGACCCTTCTCTTCGACCTCATTTGCATATCAAAAATTCACTATTTTGTATAAAAGAATTCTCAAAATGCAGGCGTTTGTCGGGCTGAAAAAGTATACCAGTACATATTGTATACAACTTAGAGGTCACAGATTGCCTTAAACCTGCGGGTATATCTCTAGCTTCCATCCAGCAACATCTTAAAAACAATGCAAATCTATGTGTTTGCTCAACTGCGCTCGTGTCAAAGATCGTTTGCATGATTCTGAAAATCGACCAAGATCTCTTTTTGACCATTAAAACTTCGTTCGTTTATCTTCTACGTTGAGGATTTTAGGTTTTCATAGCCACTGAATGGAGAATAGATGCCGAGTTGTCCTACAACGTTTCATAAACGTAATCGGTCATAACGCGTGCGCGCTTGCGTGACTTACAAAGTAAACAAAGGAGATCGGAAGGTGCCTTCTCGATAATTTAAAATATCAGGTCATGAACTGCACACAGTGTGGAGAAGATCGCTCTGTCTCATAATAGGCATACCACGTTGCTTAAAAGGACACAAAAACAAGTTAAAATACGTTACAGTGTTTATATTTACAAAACAACACGCATTCACTCTGAAACAATTATTGCAAATATATCTTAATTCGTTCAGCTACAAAAAAAGCACAGGCTTACGTAAACGTGTCACATGGTGAAAGTAGCCTAAATAATTCACTGGAAAAAATGCAGAACTAGCTTAATCGGCTTAACTTCACAAAATGCACTATCTAGCTGAAATGGCTTCACTGGTTAAATAGTCAATTAGCAACTACAGTGAAACTGCACAAACTGCGCAAAGTATCTCGATAAATGGTCATACTTACTTCAGTGGTTTAACCAGACAAAATACACAACTAACGGAAATAGTTGGGCTGGTTGAAAAAGTTAAATTAGGGAAGACAGTCAAACTGAAAAAATTACAATCTTTCTCTACTGGTTGAAGTAGTTCAAATGGTCAAAATATCTCAAAAGCTTCAATCGGACAAAATGCTTACCCAGCTGAAATGGTTTAACTGGTTGAAAGTCAAACTAGCAACGACACTTATACTGCACAAAAAGTGCAATCTATCTTAACTGGTTAGAGTCGTTCAAATGGTAATGTTAGCTTCAATGGTTTAGCCAGACAAGATACATAACAACTAATATGGTTCAACTGATTAAATAGTCAACCTGGCGAAAATAGTTCAACTCAAACACATTGCACAAGCTGTCATGATTGGTTAAAGTCCTTCAAATGGTCAAAATAGCTGCAATTAATCAACTGCCTAACTGAATTGGTACAAGTAATCCAGATAGTCAAACTAGTTTGATTGGTTCAACTGGTTAAATAGTCAAACCTTCCAAAGCGTTAAACTGCATAAACTGCACAATCTATCTTAACTGGTTGAAGTAGTTAAAACGATGAAATGAACTAAAATAGTTTAGTTGGACAAAATGCAAGACGACCTTAAATGGCTCGACTGCACAATCTAGCTTAATGACTTCGACTCATTAAAAAAAGTCAAACTACCGGTACCTTAATTTGCTGAAGTGGTTTAATAGTCAAACTACGAAAGACAGTAGAACTGTACCAATTGCAGAATCTATCTAAATTAGTTCAATGAGTAAAAATGGTGAGACCACCTTAAACACTTCAACTGGACAAAAACGTATAAGTGGTTTAAATGATTAGATGGTGCAAACTACAAAATCTTAATTGCTTCAAGCAATTATGAAGTCAAATTAGCGAAAACAGTAAAACTACACAAATAACCTATCTTAAATGGTTGAAGTAGTTCAAATGGTCAATGAGCTAAACTGTTTCAGATAGAGAAAATGCACAACAGGCTCGATTGGATCAACTGTACAAACTGCAGGATATAGCCGAATTTGGTGAGACTGGTCAACTAGTCAAACCAGCAAAATTAGCTCAACTGCCCAAATTGCACAATCTTTCTTAGATGGTTGAAGTAGTCCAAACGGTCAAATTAGCTTAACTGGTTCAACTAGCATAAGTAGCTTGATAGGTTTAAGTGCACAAGCTTCACAATCTAGCGTAATCAGCCGAAGTCGTTTAAATGGTCAAACTGGCTTAGATGGTTAATTCAGACAAAATGCATATCTACCTTAAATCTTTCAACTGGTTGAATATTTAGACAATGGAAGGCAGTGAAACTGCAATATCTATCACAACTGGTTGATAAAGTTCAAATTACTCATATCTAAAGCTTTACAGGTTCACCTGGTTAAATACTCGAGCAAGTGAGGACAGTTAAACTTCACAACTTGCACAATCTAACTTCATTGGCTAAAATCATTCAAATGATTGAACCAAAAATAAATTGTTCAATGGGACAAAATGCGTAAGTACCTAAATTGGTTCAATTCCATAATTTTATAATGTACTTTAACTTGTCTAAGAAGTTTAAGAAGTCAGTTTAGCTTAATTGGCTCAACTGGTTAAATAGTGAAATAAGTGAAAACATTTAAACTGCGAAAAATTGCAAAATGTATCTTGATTGATTAAAGAATTTCAAAATGGTGAGACTAGCTTATTATATTAGCTTTAATAGTTGAACCAAACAAAACGCATAGCCTTAATAGTACAATTGGAAAGTCTCCAAAATTTAGGCTAAATTGGTTCAAGTTAAACTAGTCAAGTAACCTTAATAGGTTCCACTTGGTTAGTAGTTAAATTAGCGAACACAGTTAAGCTCGAAAAATGCACAAACTTTCTTAATTTCTTGAGGTAGTTTAATGGTCAAACTAGTTTCAGTTGTCCAACTGAAAAAACTGCACGATCTAGCTGCATTAGTGAAATTAGTATTGGGTTTAGCAAAAATATGCCCTTAAGTCTAAGTAGGTGTTTGAGCAACTCTAACGTTGTGGCTATTCTAAATTCTCTTGATGGGTTTCGTAACACCTTGAATGTGAGGAAGAACATGAAAACCAGTCGCTGCTTTCTTTTCATCAGGAATGTTAATAGTTGTAACTGGTTTCTGGAAGTTACGAAGAATAGCCATTTACCGTTAGGACATTAGAAACATATCTTTGCTCCTCAGCCTTCGAGTCAAGTATAGATGGTTGACAATCAGCCCTGCTGAGTAATGTTTCAGTCTATTTATGATAAATTCTCCTGTTCCACTCTGCACTCAATTTAAATAAAGAAAAGGCAAATGTCTATCTTTTTCATGCTTAAGCGTAAATTAGATAGATGGGTCTATGGATTTAATACGATGAAGGCGTTCCACTTCATTTCTGAATACCGCAGAAATAGCATCATTGATATATCGTTTTCAGAAAAAGGGTTTAGCGGTAAAGTGGCAAGGCCCTTTTTTTTCGCGTCTTCTATAACTATATTGGCAATGACAGCAGAGACGAGTGAACCCATTGCTTTACCAAAACCTGTTGGTTTTGAAGCAAAAAGATAGTATATGAATAATATTCTCCGTAGGAAAAGAACTTCTTTCTTCTCTGAGTCTCTTCACTGCAACTTTAAGTTTAAATGCTTAAATTGGACAAAATACATAAGTACTTCGATAGCTTTTACTGCAAAAACTACACAATGTACCCTAATTGGCTAAAGTAGTCAAAACAGTCAAACCAAACTAATATAATTGTTTCAACTAGTTAAAAGTCGAAGCTAGCGAAGATAGTTAAATTGCACAAATTGCACAATCTATTTCAAGGGGAGGAAGTTGTTTAAATGATTAAACTGGCTTTGATTCTCCCGCGGGAGTAAATGCATAACAAGCTTAAATGGCTTAGTGGGTTAAATAGTAGAGCTAGAAATGACAGTTTATCTCGGTCTCAACTGGTTGAAGTGGCTCGATTGGTCCAACTAGCTTCGATGCTTTAGATGGATAACATGCGCAACTAGCTTTACAGGTTCAACTGGTGAAATGCTTAAAGTAGTTAAAACAGTAAAACTGCAAAAATTGCATATTCTGTACTGATTGGTTAAAGTAGTTGAAGCGCTTCAACTAGCTTCAATGTTTAACTAGCTTCAATGGTCCAACTGTACGTTCTAGTTTAATTTAATGTTGGGCACTTAAAAATGCTTAAGTATCTAAAATGGCAAAACCGAAGAAACTGAACTGGGCTTGTCTGGGCTTGGGCACCGAAACCATAGGAGATACCCAGAGAGTGGGTCCATTAGCCGGCTCAATGATATCCTGTTGCAGCAGAGATTCAACACAAGCTTCAAGATTCTTTAGTTGATGGAATGGGATGTGTCTCTGCGATTGATGCATAGGTTTCACATTTTCATTGATTTGAAATTGGACCTCAACATTCTTCAGCTTTCCAAGGCCACTGAAAAGACTTGGGTAATTTTGTAACACTCTCCTTTCCACAGACGCAGCATTTGCAATTTGCAGTATTCCAAGGTCTGGAGCAGCTGCATATCCAAGAAGAGATGTTTTACCATCTACCACGAGAAATTCAGAGTCAACTGAGCAACAGTTAGATTCAACTAGGGCTTTGAATTTACCCAGCATCGAGAGGGGTTTCGATGAGTTAAAAGCACACACTTAAGTATCACAAGGTTTTAGTACACTGTCAAACATCTTCGACAAATCATTACTCACAATGTTCACACTGGCCCCAGAGTCCCCTAAGAACTTGCATGTGACACCATTGACTTCCAATGACACAAATGGAACACTAATCTTAGTAGGAGAACTTAACGGAAACATGTATTCATCATGTGAACTCGATGGCGGTGAGCGTGGTTTTGATTTTTTGTTCACTCAGCTAATGGTTTGGGGGGGCTTGGAATTTCAACCTCTCTGCTTCCTGTTTCCTTTTTGATGTGTTCCGCCTCTGCCATAAGACTGAGCCCTTTGAAGCCAACAAGGCTTTAAGTGTGATGGTCCAATCTCTCAATTTTAATTTCCTTGTCAACGTTAGTAAATTCACATGCAGCTGCGAACTGTTGCAGGTGAGATTGATACATATTCATGGTTTCAACTGGGTATCCCCTCGCTTGCCTAACTGTGAAAATCTCAAATTCCACACTCTTCTTTGGGTCAAAGTGTAATGCAATGTGTTGTTGTTTATTAAAAAAGTGCCACTTGCAGCTGGAGGGCTGACTTGCTTGTACACAAAATAATAATTTTAAAAAAATTAATAAATATATATTGAATAATATTGAAAACGTGAATTACAAAATTGGATTTAATCTATGTGATCTAAATATGTGTTATAAAAAAGGGCATTATATCTCTAAGTCTATTGGAAAATATAGTTCATAATTTATATATCAGGATTTTTTATAAACCGAAGACAGGATAAAGGTGTTCGTAAACCTTTGCTCTTGGGAGACAAAGAATCGAGTCTGTCTAAGATTATATCTTGGGTGTGTCTCTCTGGTAGATGTCCAAGGTTGTAACTGGGTGCAGTAACAATGTCATTGGATAATATGTCACATGCCTTTAAACGCCTGTTGTTTAGCTTTAAAATTCCACGGAGGTCCAGGCTGTCTGCGTAGTCACTGTCAGGGTAGATGATTGCCAGAACACGCTTCTAAACCCATTCTATGGTATCTGATAAATAGGCTGGTCGTACGAAATGGAAAACCTGACAGCTGTACTCCAAAACAGGTCCTACACAGGTCACATAAAAGGTAATAATGTCTTGCTCAGGGACTTTGGCGCGTTTGAACTGGACGATAAAATATAAACGTTTATTAGCTTTCTTGATAATATTGACCACGTGGTCATTCCCCTTCAGGTTGTTGCTAACGGCTAGTCCTAGTATTCTAGCATTTGTGACTGCTTCAAGCTGGCCAGAGTCGATTTAAGCTTGGGAAAGTGTTCGCAGTTTTTGAGAAAGAGATCGCGAGTTCTTTGCACTTAGCAACATTTAGCTGTAGTCTGTTAATGGTTGACCAAGTTTGGACGCTTTCGATGGCATCTTCAATGTTAGTGGTGGAGCCTTCAGGCACGGCTTCGGAAAAGGTGGTGTCAGGTTTGCACTTGGGGTGGCCGAAGATCATTTATCATGAGTAGGAAAAGCCACAGTCGTAACTTTGTCTCCTGCGGCACACCAGACAGGATATCAGCCCATTTGGAGAGACACTCTCTAGCCAGCCTTACTACCTGCTGTCTGTTCGTGCTGTTGTCTGTTCGTGAGAAAGTCAATCACCCAGCGCTTGACGAAGAGAGGCATGGAAAAGAGAGAGACCTTCTTAGCTGGGATATGATGGTCCATGAGGTCGAAAACCTTGCGGTAGTCAAATGGGGCAACTCTGAGTGCGCTTCCTGTTCTGTCAGTTGCCTTGGCCCAAGAATGCACTATCGAGATGAGCGCATGGTTCGAGGGATACTGCCAAACTGAGACCAGGGTAGCTTCTGTTTTTTATACAAGGCATTGAGTAGGTGTGTGGTAGGAAGTGTGGAAACTTTCAGGATCCTATTGCCAATGCCGTCAGGGCCTGGTGTTTTAGACTGGTGGAGGTTTTTTCAACTTCTTTAACACAAAGTTAGTTAGTATGCATCCAGCTTTGTTTTTGCTGTTGCAAAATCTTCACCAATGTCCGCTAGAGCATTAAAGAGGTCAGACACCTCCTCTTGGGCATAGCACAGTGAAAGAGCTCTCTGTCTCTTCTTATCACTAATAGCAGCGGCAAAAAAAGCTTTTCAAGTCATTTGATTCATCTGCACCATTGTTGAGCAATGGCTACCACTAAAACCTTAGATCCATGACCGTCGTGGCAAGGACATTTAGACGGGTTGTTTTTCGGAGTGAAACTTGCAAGGCCCCTCCTTGCGGACAGAAACAGACCTGATGTGATGAACAAGTGAGTGGATTACGCCACCTGGTTTATGAACCATGCCGTAGTGCGCTACTGTGTGTTTGTCGACGAATGCGGCTACAACATCTGGACGGCCAGAAGCCACGGTAGAGTGCGGCAGGGAGAGAGAGCGTACCATCAAGTGTGCGGCCAGCGAGGACGAAACTTGACAGTGACAATGGCAATCTCGCCAATCAATGGACTTGTATTTTCCTCAGCAGTTCTTGGCAGAATGAATGCTGCACGTTTCCATAACTTCCTGGCACAGGCGAGGACAAATCTAGATCCCGACGAGGAGGTTATCTTTGTGTAAGTCTCTTGACTTTTTTGAAATAAGTCAAATGCTAAAATTAGCTTGACTGATTCAACTGGATAAAATGCTTAACTAGACTAATAGGCGTTACTGTGTAAACAACACAATCCTGCCTCATTGGTTAAGCTGGTTAAATAGTCAAACTAACGAAAGAAGTTCAAGTACAGAAATTGTACAATCTATCTTAAATATAACTAATATGATTTTGACTATTTTAAAATATATTAGATGTAGCTTAATTGGTTTTACTTTTGAAAGGGTGAAGCTACCTTAAATGACAAAATGTGTAACACTCTGAAATGACTGATCCACAGAACATCCATAAATATTCTAATTCAACTACAAAAACAGCACAAGCTATCTCAAATGTGTCACATGGTCAAAGTAGCCTAAATAATTTACTGGACAAAATGCAGAATTAGCTTAATCGGCTTAACTGCACAGACTTCACAATCTAGCTTAAATAGCTTAAATAGTTCAACAAGACAAAATGCATAACTAGCTAAAATGGTTAAACTGGACAAAATGTGTGAATACCTTCAATGGCTCAACAGGCTAATTACTTAAACTATCAAAGACAGTTAAAGTCTAAAAATGCTGCACCATCTATTTTAGAGGTAGCTCAAATGCTCATACTAGCTTCAATTAATCCACTGCACAAACTGCATAATCTGGCTGAAATGGTTTATCTGGTTCACTCGTCAACAAGCAAAAATGAATAAACTGTACAAATTACATTTTCTACCTCAGTTGGCTATGGAGGTTCAACGGTCGCTCTAGTTTAAATAGGTCAACAAGACAAAATGCATAATTAGCTGAAAAGGTTTAACAAGACAAAATACGTAAATAGGTTTAATGGTTCAAGTCGTTAAAAGTCAGTCTAGTGATAAAAGTTAAACGGCACAAATTGCACAGTCTGTCTTCATCGATGCAAGTAGTTCACTCGGTTAAACTAACTTAAATGGTTCAACTGAACCAGGTGCATAACTACCTTAGTTGGTTCCACTGCACATTCTGGACAGTCTAACTTAAATGGCTCAACTGCAACCTATCTTGATTGGTTAAAGTAGTCCAAATGACCAAACTAGTGTACATGCTCGAACTGGAAAAAAATGCATAACTAGCCTGATAGCATTCACCGTACAAACTACACAACCTACCTAAATTGGATACACTCGTTAAATAGTCAATACTCAAGTTACCAGAAACAGTTAAACAGCACCAATTGCAAAATCTATCCAAATTAGTTAAAACTGTTCAAATGGTGATACTAACCTCAGTTCTTCAAGCAGACAAAATTCACAGCTAGCTTAAATAGTTGAAAAGCTAAATTAAGCAAGACAGTCAAACTAATATAATTGAGTAATCTTTCTCATCTGGTCGAAGTAACTACAGTGGGCAAACTACCTTCAATTGGTGAACTGCAAAAATGGCACAATCAGGCTATATTGGTTCAAGTAATCAAAGCTCAACCAGTTAAATAGTCAAATCAGCGTAGAAAGTTAAATACCAAAAATGCACAATCTATCTCAATTCACTGCCGTAGACCGAATGGTCAAAATATCTCAAAAACTTTAAACTTAAAAGTTAAATCAATTTAGCCAGGTTGTGCATTTTGTCCAGTTGGACCGCTTCACCTCATTTGAGATATAAATAGTCACACTTGCTGATACTGTAGAACTGGACAAAATGTACACACTACCTAAATTAATTCAACTGGTTTCCATGTCTGAAATAAGCTGCAGCAGTTCAACTAGTTTAAAAGCTAGTTGAACCACTGCAAGCAACGAAGATGAATTGTGCAACATGTGGAGGTCTTTGCCAGCTTAACTATTTAACCATTTGAACCATTTAGGCTAGATTGTGTTCTATGTGCAATTGAACCTACTAAGCTAGTTTAACCATTTTCACTTCTTTAAGGAATTAAGATAGATTGTGCATTTTTGCAGTTAAACTAGCTTCGCTAGTCTTACCGTTTGAAAGTTACACTAATTATATAAGTTTGAACATTTTAACAACTTGTAAGAAATAATTAGATTGTGCAGTTTGTGTAGTTGAAGTACTAAAGCTAGTTGTGCTTTATTTCCAGTTGAACCATTTAAGCTAGTTTGATCATTTTAACTACCTCGACCAACTAAAATAAATTGCACACTTTTTTCAGTTTACTATCCTCCTTAGTTTCCCTATTTATCCAGTCGAACCAATTCAGCTAAAACAACTAACTGGTTGAACTACTTCAAATGGTGACACTGGCTTCATTACCTCAAACGGACAAAATGCAAAACTAGCTTAAATGGTTTAACTGCACAAACTTCCCGTTTAGACAAACTAGCTTTATCTGTTTGCTAGTTGAAAAAGTAGAGGTAAAAAATAGTTTACATGCATAAATT